GGAGGCATGGCCACCTTCCCCTAACTTTGGATAACCAGGGAGGTCAGGGACAGGGTTGGAATCGAGCGCCACTGTATCCTAGATAGCGCCAGCACGGTTAGAGCTCTGTAAATGTTGAATGAACGAACGAACCTTGCCCAGACTCATCTTCTTGGAGCGTCCGTGAGGGAAGAAGCAAAGACTGAAATGCCCGCCTCCGCCGCCCCCCACTCCACCCCCGGCCCTACGCATCTGGCGTCCTCCTCGCTGTAAAGTCTCTCAATCCCCAATCCGCTTCCCCGCCCCCGGGTTGCCTTAGAAACGGTGACGTCAACACGAAGGGCGTGGCCTCTCTCCATCCTTTCCCGGAGCCCTGGGCCCCTTTTTCCCGGAGCCTGGGGGAAGGATGAGGTTGGGGGTAGTGGATTCTTTCCGCCCCTCGCCGGGCTCGGAGCTAACAACGCCCACCTGGTGGTCCCCTGTGGGCGCACTGCGTGCTTGAGTGCGGACATCCTCCGAGCCCCGCACCGGTGAACTGGCAGGGGTCCTAAGAATGCGGGCCTGGGTCCCTGTGGTCCCTCTCCACCCCTCACCCCCGACGGACCATTGGATCCCCGGCCCAGGACTCAGCCCAGCCCCATCCCTTCCCGGGCAGCCCCTGGGCTCGCTGCGCGTCCTTGGGGCCAGGCGAGAAGGGGACCCCGAAGGGGCGCCCGGGCGCCGCGGAGCGCGGCAGGGAAGGAGTTAAACAAGGTGCCGGGCGCCGGCTACAGCGGGAGACGGGGAGGGGAGGGAAGGGAAAGTGAGACCCGGGGCGGGGTCGGGGGCGGGTGGCGAGAGCGAAAGAACTTCCTGTGCCCGCCGCCGGATGAGCGCGGGCGGGGGCGTGGGGCGGCGGGGAGGAGGTAGCCCGGGGAGGGCGGGCAAGACGGGGAGGTTCGGGGCGGGGAAAGGCGCGGCCTCGCACCTCCCACCCCGTCCTCCTCCTCCTCTGGGGGCGTCACCTCCTCAGCTCCCCGGGCTTTCGCTCCGTTTCTCCTAGTCCCCACGCTGTCTCCGGAGTAAAAAGCTACCCCGAGGTCCCACAGTCTGCTTCCTAGGCTAGGGTAAGCGTTAGCCAGGGATGGGGAGGCTTCAGAGAGTGTGGGATCTACGTCTGGGCTTGGGCAGCTCCAGGTTTGCCGCTCTCGGCTTTCTGGCTTTCTGCTGGGGAAACTCGCACGTGTTGAGCGCGCCCGGTGCCCTGAGAGTCACAACACACGTTCTGTCATTCAGTCCTGACAGCAGCACTTCCAGGTAGTAGATGGATATTAAACTAGTTGCCTTTGAGTTGATTCCCACTCTTGGCGACTCCTTGTGTAGAACTGTGCTCTATAGCCTTTTCAATGACTGATTTCTCAGAAGTAGATCCTCAGGCCTTTCTTTTGAGGCACCTCTAATGGACTAACCTCCAGCCTTTTGGTTAGCAGTCAAGTGGATTAGCGGTTTGCACTACTCAGACAGGTATTAAAAAAAAGAGAGAGAGAGAAACCAAACCCGTTGCCCTCCAGTCGATTCCAACTCATAGCGACCCTACAGATATTAGCAGATCTGTATTCAAGATGAGGAAACTGAGACTCAGGTTATGGAATTTTTTCAAGCCCCACACTGCTGGTATTTGAACCCAAGTGCATTGAATTTAAACGGGCTTTTCATTAGAGTGCGTTGTTGTTACTGATTGCCGTCCAGTCGATTCTGACTGGTAGCAACCTCACCTGTGCACAGTAAAACTGCTCCATAGCTGTGACCTTTCAGAAGCAAATCACCAGGCCTGTCTTCCTATGTGCCTTTGGTTGGATTCGAACCACCAGCCTTTTGGCTAGTAGTTGAGCACTTAACCATTTGCACCACCCAGATACTCCTCAGAGCATAGAGTAGGTTGTTTACCTTTGCTCCTCTTGTGCCCGAAAGCTCTGGGCCCCTCCGAGATCATCCTTGGTACTGACCTTAGGCACCCAAGAAGCATATGGTACTTCTCTAATTGACTAGGCTGAAATACTCATTGCCAGGGGCCTGGTAAAGAGAATCAGGAGGTAGCTATAGGGCTTCACAGGTGGGAGGATGGATTTTAGGGACAAAGTGGCTCACTGGAATGGGGAGAACAGCACTCCTGGTCTAGATTTTTTGGAGGTTTTCAAAGAGGGCTTCCCAAGTTGTTCAAGGAAGTAAAATGGGTTACCAGAGTTGGGATCCATGAGTCACAAACTACTTCATGAGATAGGTATTATTATTATAAGCATTTTACAGATTGGAAAATTGAGGCACAAAGATCACATAGCTAAATCAGTGGCTGAATTGGTTTTGAACTCTGGCAGTCTGACTAGATCCCACACTCTCATTTACTAAATTAAACTGCTTTTAACACGATGACAACATCAGCCTTGCAGGTAAAAAGCTGACACAGATGGCAGAGAGGTGTGTGTTAGGGCAGCCTGTGTTCTTTTGCTTTGGTAAGGGCAGGTAAGGAATTCAGAGAAACTAGACCATATCCTGGTGTGTATACGGACTCTCAGACTTCTCTCCAGCCAGTGGTTCCAGATTTTTGGATTTGACAAAAGAAAAACAAGAAAACAAACACACAAAAACCAAGCTCCCACCTAGAGTTGCCCGCTTTTAATTGAAGGACACAGCAGTTAAGCACTCTGCTGCTAACTGAAAAGGAGCCCTCGTGACACAACGGTTAAGCACTCAGCTGCCAACCAAAAAGTTGACAACCCACCAGCGGCTCTGTGGGAGAAACTTGTGGCAGTCTGCTTCCGTAAAGATTACAGCCTTGGAAACCCTTTAGGGTAGTTCTACTCTGTCCTATAGGGTCATTACGAGTTGGAATCGACAGCAATGGGTTTGATTTTGGCTTGGGCTAACTGAAAAGTCAGCAGGAGAAAAGACTTGGCAATCTGCTTCCATAAAGATTACAGCCTAAGAAAACCTATGTGGCAGTTCTACTCTGTCCTATAGAGTTGCTATGAGTCGGAATTGACTCAGGGGCACACGATGACAACTAAGATTTAAAACACAACAACCATTATTTCGTAAAAGAAAGGACATTTTAATCTTCCTAAAAATAAGAATGACATCATGTCTGAATCAAGAACAGTCATTCCCAGGAAAAGACAGTCATCAACTTCACACCTGGACTGGTGGAAATGCTATCCTGGGAATGACTCTGCCTCTAATCCCTCCAAATCATTTGAGGGCAGAACAGGAGGGAGTTAGGTTAGACACAAGAAAGAACTTTTCTTCTTTGGAGGTCTTTATGAACCAGGTGAGCACTGTGTTTACTTGGGATGTGAGGGTTATAGAATCAACTTCACGGGATGGAGGTGGCAGTAACTCTGAGTTCCTCCCTCTCCTCCTTCCCCACCCCTAAGCAGGGCAGGTCAAGACAGGGACCTTGTTTTGAGGGAGCTATCCTCAGATCCACTAGGGTTGTCTTAGAACCTAAAGTGACAGTCCCCATCAGAAGTTAATGGGATATGATAGGTGGTCCCATGGCAGTAGAGAGGCTTCCCTGGACCTCTACTCATCCCTATTAGAGGGAGTCCATGTAGTTACCCATCTCGGGGCTCGGTAGAGTGCCAGGAATAACACTTGAGGAAGGCTTAGGATGAAGAAAGGAAAGGAAGAGAATAGCCGCACAGGAGTGCCATCTGTCTCCTGCCTGCAACCTGGAGTGTGATGAGCTGAGGCTCTGCATGGACAGGCCTAACTGACTGCAGCATCCTTGCAGGCAGCTGCCTCCCTGTTTTCCCACCTCCCCTTGGCTCAGGTGCAGGACAAAGCCTTCTTTCCCAGCTCTCCCAACAGGAGCTCGAAGCCAGGCAGGTTCTGGCTCAACCCTCCTCAGCACCAGCTCTGGATCTGACCCTGGTTTAACATTTGTCACCTCTCTGTTCTATACAAGAAGGTGAGGCCAGAGGCTGTGAGGAGACTCCTCCGGGGAAGCAAGTGGTGTTTGGTTTCACCTGCCCCATCCTAGGGGTGGAGAGCAAGGCCACCAAAGGTGGACCCTTATCCTCAGGGATGGCGTCTTCTGGATTTCAGAGGAAGCCTCGAGACTCATCCAACACTGTGAGGCTTAGGGAGTCTGGGAGATGGTGCTTCCATATTTAGGCCTTCCATGGCTTAAAGGGCCAGACCTACCCAAATTTTAATCCTGGGGTTTTAGAAAAGTAAATCTGGATCCTCTCAGGTTACAAATAGAGAAAATGAGACCCAGGCAAGGGCAGTCTCTTCCTCCTCCAGGGTCACTCTCGTTAGATGGGCCTGGAGCCCCAGTTCCCAGACTGTCTTGTCATTGTCTGCCCTCTCAAAGAATGGCAGAACCTGACCTGAGCCCCTGCTAAGTTGAGGATTCTGTACTTGATGCTGGAGCTGCACAGACAACTGCCCTCAAGAGTTTTTGTTCAGACAGGTAAATATAAACTAAAACGGAACAGGCAGATGCTGGAAAAGATGGATTTGCCTCAACACTGCAAAACTTTATAGGTACCATTCTATTCCTATTCATCCTCCAACAGGGGAGCTCTGCCTGCAGAAACACCCTGAGCCAGGGGTGGGTCTTTGGTGCAGAGATCAAAGATGGGAGGGCCAGGGACACGAGGGAACAAGGCTGCCAGTGGGCACACCCCAAACACCCATCCCGGAAAGGCCCAAAGGCCCCAGCCCAGAGATGGGCCTCTGCTGCCCTCTGTTGGATGAAAGGCAGCCTCTGGAGCCACCCTCTGGGGCCCCACCAACCTGGCTCCCCTAAAGAAAAGGGGAAGAAAAGGACCCTCCTCTCCCAGACTTTTTATTCCCTGAGAGCCTCCAACTTCATTTCCTACAGCCTCTGCAGCTGAACCTTATTCGTCACAAGTTCCCCGGCGGCCCCCTTTCCCTAACCACCATTCTCCACCCTCCATCCCACTGTCTCCGTAGTTCCCTTTGTTGCCCAGGTTCTGATTCTGGTACCCGGGTTCCTGGCCCTGCCAGAAAGTTCTGGTTCCGGAAGGCCCCTTCCCAGGTGCCTCGGGCCCAACTCACGCCCGCAAGGCGGCACTGAAGACATGGGCATGAGCATCGCCGAGTGCCTGAGGCAACTGGACATCCGCAAAGGTGTAGTGGGCCTGGCCACGGCCGCCGGGGCCATCTACCTACTCTACAAGGCCATCAAGGCTGGCATAAAATGCCAACCACCCATCTGCACCAACTCGCCCATCTGCATCGCCCGTGAGTGTCCGGGCCCTGGGGAGAGGGCTCTGCCCCAGGAGGCACCCGCTTCTGAGGCCTCCTCTGTGGGAGGGGCCAAAGGTGACTCCTCAAAGTTCCTATCTCCTTCCTCTTTCTTCCCCATCTTCCTCACCCTGTAACCCCCTAGGTAAGGCGCTGCTAAAGATGCTAGTTCAGTCCCCAGGGGTTCAAGTGGACCCTCAGGTCTCATCCGGCAGCTCTCCAAATACTACATTCACTCTGGCTGTCAGGACCCAACTGCTTGGAAACTTGAAGTCAGCATCTCCCACCTTTCCTAACTCAAAACTAAGAACTTTAAGTAAAGGAAAAATTTGGGGATCTACATGACTAGATCCTCCACTAATCCATACGGCACGTTTGTGCAAATTAGAAAAAGGGGCCCCCTCTGCAGACTCTTTACTGCCATCTGCTGGAATATTGTTGCTATACAGTGATTATGCCGGAACACAATGCCATATAACAGAAAATTATCATAATAAATAATACAAATCTATGACATTTATGATATATGTTGCCCTTGTGCAGTACACTCCGTATTCAACTGTACACGGTGGTCCTGCACTTAGCAAGAAGGCTTCTCTTCAGAAAAGGCAAACAAGCTTTTTCCCCAGTCCCTCCTCCCGGCTCCCCAACCTCATTCTTTCATAACCTCTGAGACCATAGCCTGAACTGGGCTGGGTGGCTGTCTAGGCCTGGCAATCGAGCGAGAGCGGCATGGACGGGACTCGGGAGAGCTCCGGAGACTCTTCAATTCTTTGGAGTGCAAACAGGATGAGTACGCCAAGAGTATGATCCTGCACAGTATCACGCGGTGTGTGTACTTGCTGGAGGCTGAGGTGAGGGAAGGGAATCAGGAGGTCCCTCCCAGCCAGCCTGGCCTCTAGCAGCTGCAGCTGGCTCCCTGCCCCCCTAACTGGTCAGATTTGGTCCTTGGACCTGTTTCTCTCTGATAGTGGGAAGGGTGTGTTGAGGGGTCTTGGCAACCGGAGGGACCGTGGGCCCAGGACACCTACTTCTCCTGCCTCTCGCATCTCTCCCCAAACACTCTAGGCCTCTGCTTGTACTATGGATGACATCAGGTTGGTGGGATACATGCTGGATGACAAGGACAACAGTGTCAAAATCCAAGCTCTGAACACACTTAAAGCTTTCTCTGGCATCAGAAAATTCAGGCTTAAAATCCAGGTGAGCCCAGGAACAGTGGTGGGGCAGAGCACACAGGATGTCCATATTCTGTGGGTCCGCTAGTTGGCAGAGAACAAATGGGTCATTTTCCAGAAGTTGGTTTGGGTCTGGGTTTATAACCCAGAAATGATTTTTCCTTGGAAGTAAGTGGGAAAATGGTGGTCAGACTCCCAACAGGGTCATAAAAACCTTTGAATCTCAGGATGAAACTGAACTAGCATGCTAGAAATATCTCTGAACCCCAAAAAGCCTCCATGCCTATGTTGATCAGAGGTATGACTGGGCTGCATATGCCTCCACCACCACCACATAGAGAAAATATAAGCCACCAAATGTCAACTTCCCCAACTTCCTGCTATCCAGCCCCCGGGCTTACCTATTTCCACACCCATCCTTTCCTCTTTCCTGCAGGTGCCATGGTCGGGGGGGAAACTTTTTTTCTGTCTGTGGTCAATGTTAGGAGTCCTAGGTGGTGTAAATGGTTAACATATGCTGCTGCTAACTGAAAGGTTGGAGGTTCCAGTCCACCCAGAGGTGCCTCAGAAGAAAGTCCTGGCAATCTACTTCTGAAAAATCAGCCATTGAAAAACCTATGGAGCACAGTTCTACTGTGACACACATGGAGTCACCATGAGTTGGAATCAACTTGATGGCAACTGTTTTTTTGTTTTTGTTTTTTTTAATGTCTATATTGGTCTCAGTCCTGGATCCCATCCCCTCCTTGAGGGCTTCTCTCCTTGATTATCCTCTCTGTCTGATATGGCTTCCCCTGTCTCCTTCCCATGAGCATTTAGCATGCTGTAATCCCATGGCAATGGATAAAAGGTATTCCCATCCACAGGAGCCCTGGTGGTGCAATGGTTAAGTGCTCGGCTGCTAACCAAAAGGTCAGCAGTTCAAACCCACCAGCTGCTCCTCAGGAGAAAGATGTGGCAGTCCGCTTCTGTAAAGATTTACAGCCTTGGAAACACTATGGGCCGTTCTACTCTGTCCTGTAGGGTTTCTCTGAGTCGGAATCGACTCTATGGCAACGGCTTTGGTTTTTAGTTTTTTAATCCCTTCCATCTTAAAAAGCAAAACAAAACCAAACAAAACTCTTTCTTGACCTCCAAGTTTCCCTCTAACAAATGGTCTCTCTCTCCCAAGTTAAAACTAAATTAAATAAATTATTTAAAACCTACAAAAAATCTATAATTTATGTGTGAGGTAGAAAAGATAACAATAAAACAAAGCCTTGCCGCCCAAGATTTAGGCTAAGAAATTGAACATGACCAATACATTAGATGCTCCCATATTGCCCCCCCAAATCCCAACCTCCTTCCCCTCCCTCCTCTCCCAACCCCACCTGCATTTTGTTGATCAGTTCCTGGGTTTTCTTTATAGTTTTACCATAAATGCATGTATCCTTGCATATTCTAACAGAACAAACCAGACAATAAACTAAAATAGAGTTTTGGGTGCTTTCAAACTTCATATATATGGAGGCATGCCGTTTGCATTCTTCTGTGGTTTGGCATTTTTTCCCCCTAATATTGAAAGATTCATCGTTACTGATGTAGGTAGCTCTTTTGTTGCTTCGTGGCCCGATGTGTGCAGAGTAGAACTGTGCTCCATAGGGAATTCAAGGCTGTGACCTTTCAGAAGCAGATGTCCAGGCCTGTCTTCTGAGGTGGCTCTGGGTGGATTTCAACTGCCAACCTGTTGGCTAGTCGTCCAGCGCTTAACTGCTGGTTCTTTCTTTTTCACCGTTGTGTAATATTCTATTGTGTGGATACCCTGCAGTTTTATTTATCCCGTTGCCCAGTGGTAGGCATTTGAGTGTTTCCAGGTTCTTGTTGTACCCACATTGTGCTGTGAACATTCTTGCAAGAGCTTCTCTAGGGTATGTATGCAGGAGTAGAATGACTGGGTCAAAGGGTATGCCCAACTTTTCCAGAAGGTTGTATCAGTTTATGCCCCCACCAGCCCTGTGTGAGTGTTCCTACTGTGTCTAACCTTACCAACACTTGATATTTTCACGCTTAAAATTTTTGCCATTAAACCTTTTTTTGGGGGGGGGCTTGCTGGGAGGAAGGTCTCCAGGTCTCCACTTGCTGGCTGCTTCTATTCATTCAGCCTTCTCAATTCCCCTAAGGTGGTGATTCTCTCACATATCAGAATCGCCTGGAAGGCTGATTCAAACGAAGATTTCTGGGCCCCCCAGCCAGTTCAACAGGGGAGCTATGTTTTTCACACACCTCCCACGCCAAGGAAATTCTGATGCAGCTGGCTGAGCACCACCTCCCTTCCCAAATGTCTGTATCCTGAGGACCTGGCCCCTGTTCTCCTCTCTGTGGGTGAAAGCAATCCCTCCTTGGTCTTAGTTTCCATTTATATGTGCTCTTCTGGGTCTCTGTCTGCAGAGACAGAGCATGACCAACTGCTTCTGGAGATATTCTCTTAGACAGCCCAGAACCTCTCTAACCCAATGTGTCCAAAGTGGAGCTCAGCTCCCTTCCCTAAGCCAGACTACCCTCTCCAGAGGGATTGATTCTGCTGGCCCCCTGCTCGGTCTTCAGGGCTCGCAGCACAAGATGATTAGCTCTGCCTCCTTCTTGCCCCAACCCCAGCCACTTACACTGAATGTTTCATGATCTCCCACTCCCTGGCCCTCGCACCTGCTGTTCCCTCTGCCTGAAAACCCTTCCTAGACTTGGTAACTCCTACCTGTCCTTCACGGAGCCCTGGTGATGCAAAGGTTAAGTGCTTGGCTGCCAACCGAAAGATTGGTGGTTTGAACCCACCCAGCTGCTCTGTGGGAGAAAGAGCTGGTGATCTACTCCCATAAAGATTGCCCAAAAAAAAAAACCAAACCAAATCCGTTGCCATGGAGTCGATTCTGACTCATAGTGACCCTATCAGACAGAGTAAAACTCCCCCGTAGTGTTCTCATAAAGATTACGGCCTAGAAAACCCTGGGGGGACAGTTCTACTCTGTCATATGGGATCACTGTGAGTCGAAATGCACTCAGCAGCACCTAACAACAACCTGTCCTTCAGGTCTCAGCAGACGGGGAGGGGATGGTGGCAGGGTACTAATGAGAATGTTGTGACTCCTGCTACAGAATTCTCACTTCCCTTTTATATGACTCACAAAGGTACAGATGAGGTTACTTGTCTTTGATAATACCTTTTGGTCCAAGCATCTTGCCTCCGAAGCCCAAGATCCCTTTATTCATTAAACAAATGTATATGGAGCACCTACTATGTGCCAAGGCACTGTTCTAGGCATTGGGGATACAGCAGTGAACAGAAGAGAAAAGATCCCGGTCTTGGTGGAGCTTATTTCTAGCAGGGCAAGGCAGGCAATCAACAAGTAAGTAAAATATATAGTGTGTTACTAGGTTTGCACTTGACTGCTAACCTAAAGGTTGGCAATTCCAACCCACTCAGTGTTACTGTGGAAGAGAAGACCTGGCAATCTGCTTCTGCTAAGATTGCTGTTGCTGTTATTAGTTGCCGTGGAATAGATTCTGACACATTGAAACCCAATGTGTGCTACTGCTCCCTAGGGTTTTCAAGGCTGTGACCTTTCAGAAGCAGGTTGCTAGGCTTGTTTTCCAAGGCACCTCTGTGTGTGTTCAAACTACCAGCCTTTCAGCTAGTAGTCAAGTGCTTAACCATTCCCACCACCCAGAGACTCCCAAGAAAACCCTGTGGTTCAGTTCTACTCCGTAACACAAACACATGGGGTCTCCATGAGTTGGAATAAACTTGATGGCAGCTAACGACAGCATAGTGTGTTACACGTGACAAGTGCTATGGAGAAAAATAAAATAAAGAAGAGGGATAAGGAAGACTGGGATGCAGATGGCATTGCAGTTTTACAGGAGAAAATCTGTGAGACCTAGGGCTTGGTGAGGAGTTTGTAGATATGACGCCAAAAACACAATCCATAGAAGAAAAAACATTGATAAAGTGGACTTTATCAAAATTTTTAAAATGTTTGCTTTGCAAAAGACCGTGTTAACAAGATGAAGAGAGAAGCTACAGACTGGGAGAAAATATTTGAAAACTATATATCTGACAAAGGACTCTTGTAGATTATATAAAGAACTCTCAAAATGCAATACTTAAAAAAAAAAAAATCCAATTGGAAAATGGGCAAAAGACATGAAGAGAAAGTTCACTGGAGATGATATATGTGTGGTAAATAAGCACCTGGAAAGATGTACAATATCACCAGCCATTAAAAAAACACTGTTGCCATTGAGTTGATTCTGACTCATGGCGACCCCATGCGTGTTAGAGTAGAACTGTCCTCTATAGGGTTTTCAACGGCTGGCTTTTTTAGAAGTAGATCACCACTAGATCACTTTCTTCCTAAGTGTCTCTGGGTTGACTCAAGCCTTCAACCTTTAGGTTAGCAAATGAGCATGTCAACTATTTGCACCACCCAGGGACATGCAAATTAGGGAGATGCAAATGAAGACCATGATGAAATATTACTACACCTATTAGCATAGTTGAATCCCTGGGTGGTACAAATGGTTAAGCACACAACTATTAACCGAAAGGTTGGCGGTTCGAACTCACCCAGAGGTCCTCAAGAAACAGGCCTGGCGATCCACTTCAGAAAGGTTAAAACCTTGAAAACCCTAGAGCACAGTTCTACTCTGCACACACAGGGTTGCCATGAGTCGGAATTGACTGGACAGCAACTAACAACAACATCTGGAACAGTTAGATTAAAAATAGTGAAAATACCAAATGATGATAAGGATGTGGAGAAACGGGATCTCTCATATATTGTTGGTTGGACAGCCAGTCTGGAAAACAGTTGGGCAGTTTTTCAAAAAGCTAAATCTACATTTACTGTAGAACCAGCATGTGCACTCTGGGCATTTATCCTAGAGAAGTGAAAACCTACACAATTGTTCATAGCAGCCTTATCTGTAATAGCCAAAAGTTGTAAACAATCAAAATGTCCCTCAGTAGGTGAGTGGTTAAGCAAACTGTGGTACATCCATGTGTGGAATACTACTCAGCAATAAAAAGGAACAAACTATTGATACAACAACTTGGATGGGTCTCAAGGGCATTGCTGAGTCTCAAAAGGACGCATATTGTGTAATTCCACTTATATAACAGTATCAAAATGACAAAATTACAGAGAGATGGAAGACAGATGAGTGATTCCCAGGGGTTAGGGATGGAGTGTCTGCAGGAGGGATGTGGGTGTGACTCTAAAGGGGTAGAATGGAGATCTTTGGGGTGATGGAATTGTTCTGTATCTGGATTGTGGTGGTGGTTGTACAGATCTACACGTGATAAAATGACAGAACTACACACACACATTGTACCAATATCAATTTTCTGGTTTTGATATTGTACTATAATTATGTAAGATGTAACCATTGGAGGAAACTGGGTGAAGAGTACATGGACTCTCTCTGTACTGTCTTTGCAACTTCCTGTGAATTTATAATTCTTTCAAAATAAAAAGTTTAAAGTAAAAAGTGTATTATGTGTGACAGGACTATAGAGAAAAAT